CTGCAGACAGTGCAATTAGACTAGGCATAACGCGCAAACGTGTAAGCAAGAAGTAGAAGTAGTATCTAAATAATATTCTAGGCTGTACTGTACTCCATAGTGCTAGAGTAGGTTGTTATGGGCCATAATAACGTTTGTTGTGGTGTGGTCTTGGCAAAAGTGAGCAACTCAGGTGTGCGAGCAACTGCTAATCCCCGTGTCAGATTAAAGCACTGTTTCTGGGCTTCCTAAGATGAATGATGGGTTTTGGATAGAATGTATGGGATGATTATTTATTGTATTAATTAATTTATGTTTCTTTTTCTTTTTGTGTCTGCTCTGCTTGTGTTGCTCGGCTTTGTTTTTCCGGTCCGAGTCCCTCGCGCACTAGCCCTATGCGCGACCAGCTTGCAACATGCTGCAATTTGCTGCAACATGCTGCAATTTGTTGCAAAATGCTGCAATTTGTTGCAAAATGCTGCAACATGCCGCAATTTGTTGCAAAATGCTGCAACATGCCGCAATTTGTTGCAAAATGTTGCAAAATGCTACAACATGCAGCAATTTGCAGCAACATACTGTTCGAGCTTATTGCTCGTACTATGTAGCAGCTTTTGTCCAGCGTTCCTCCTGTCTTGACAGTAGGTGCGCATATCTGACACCCCGACACACCGATGCGGCTGATGCCAATCCCCGACACACCGATGCGGCTGATGCCAATCCCCGACACATTGATGCGGCTGATGCCAATCCTCGACACACCAATGTGGCTGATGCCAATCCCCGACACACCGATGTAGCTAGAGAGGTGGAACAGACGCAACTAACCATAATTTAAACATGTTTTACACAACGCATGCTAGAGCAAACTGCATGCAAATTAGCATAAAGGTGCACTTACATTAGGTATACATTTTTTTTAAAAAAGAATATAAGAAACACATAAGGTGACAGAGAAACAGCGTTACCGGGGTTTATCCGAAGAAATTCTGACTAACTAGCGCGTCCAAAAGAGGAGATTCTGCTCAACTTTTTGTTCTGCAAACCCGAATATAATAAGCAGAGCAAGCTCTGCTAATAAAAGTATTTCTTTATTTTTTTTATTTTTAATAAAGCTTAATTTTTACTTAACTTTTTTTCTTTTTACTAGCTTCTTCTTCTTCTTAACTTTAGTCTACTTAGTAGAGGGTTTATATAAAAAGATCTTATTCTAAGCTACTATAGTTGCCTTATATACTAAGTACAGAGTTGTGCTTTAGTTGCCTTTTTTAAAGTATCTACTTTTTAGTAAGTCTTTAATTATATAATAATCCTTAGCACTTTTTAAAAAATATGTAATATAATCTTTACTAATATCTATAATAAGATATAGTTTAGAATAGCCTTTAGTAATTAAAGAATTAAATTATATAAGCTTTTTAAAAAGGCTGTTCTTAATAAACTTAGTATAGCTTATAAAAGGCGCGTTTTAAAGCTGTATCTAGGTCTAATCTACTATGTATTAGATATTAGCTAATATATAAGAGGGTATTATATATAGCTGTTTAATACTATTAATTTACTTGCGCTTATTAATTACCTTATATTATATAAAGTAGAGGATTACAAGAATAAAGAGCTTAGCTATTATATAGCCTTAAATAAAAAGTAAAAATGTACACTAGATTAACTACTAATGTGCTAATTCTGCTAGTGTACATAAAGCAGCTTATATAGAAGAAATAAACATTTCTTTCTTTATACTTTTAGGTGTATTCTTTAGATAGATTATCTCTTCTTTGTCTTATATAATTTATATAGGTGTAAAAGGTTAAATTTAAACACTATAGTTTAAATAAAACTTATATTTAGTAAACTATTTACTATAAAACTATTTTATAGTAAAATAAAACTTATCTTAGGCACTTATAGTAATAATAGATTATACATTATATAAAAAAAAGAACTAAAAAAAGAACTAAAAAAAAAACTATAAAAAATTTAAATATACTATAAAAAAAATAAAAGCTTAGTTACTACATCTACATAAATCTACTAAGCTAGATTAGGATTAATAGGCATTTTTTTACTAAAGTTAGTTTTAAGATTAACATCTTAAACTATGTCTTAATTACTTTAGTTAAATTAAATACTCTTATATTAAGCATATTATATAAAACTTTACTTGCTAATTTTACACTTTAATAAGTAACTTAAGTAGAGATAGTATAGGCTAAAGACTATTCTAGATATAGTATTATGCTTTTACTTAAAGCTAAAGATAAACATTTAGATATAGTGTTATATAATTCTAAAAGTTAGAGCAAGCTGCAGCTACACTGTTAAATCTAAGTAAATCTAGTACTCTATTACACTACTAAAGCATATCCTGTAGGAGGTAAGCATTTATATTCTAACTATTAACTTTTCTTTTAATTATATAAAGCTAATTAGCATTAAATAAAAGAGCCTAGTTCTAGACATAAGCTTTAGAATAGTAATAAAGCATAAAAAGCTTTCTAACTACACTATTTAAATAGTTCTTCTACCTTTAAATTAAATGTGTGTTTTATAGTTATATAAAGCTATATAGTTTCTTATAAAGTATAAAAATATATATAGCATAGATAGTAAGCTAATTAGCTAAGCTATTTTTTAAAAAGAAGCCTTAGGTTTAAAAGTAGTAGAAGTAATTCTACTTAAAGTAAAATAAAGTAATAGGTATTATATAAAATACTAACTTACTAATAAAAAAGAAGGCCTTTTAAGAGTTACTACTACTAAGCTTTAATCTACTAATTTAATGTACTTATGCTATAAAAGTAGCACTAATTAAATAAAAGCTTAGGCTCTATAAACTTTTAAAGCTAGTAATAAGCATTTACTAGCATAACTATCTCTATCTTTTAATTAGATTATATAAAATATAGTTACTACTTTATTTTTTTAAGTGTCTTAAGAAACTAGTAAAGGCAGCTAATAGCAGTACAGGCAGAGATTTTAACATAAATCTATACAATGTATTGTAAGTACGCGTTAATACATGTATAGATCTCTACGCTGTACAGTTTTAGCTTACTATAGCTATTAATAGACTAGATAAAGTTTAGGCTAGAAACAATATACTCTCTATAGTGTTACTGCAGGTTGCGCTTGTAGCACTCTACTACCTTATAGTTTATTATATAATAAATGCAAAATAACTAGTCCTATGCAATAATATAGCTACATTAATAAAAGTATATATAAAGATACTCTTACTTATACCTATTAATAATACCTTTCTTTAGCTTTTAACTAATAAGTTATTATATAAGCTTATCTACTTACTAGCTTTATTTAACACTTTACACTTTTTTATGTAATTTAAGCTTAAATTAAAGTTATATAAGCATATATTTTCTAATTTAGAAGCTTTTATTATGTAGTATATAAAGTATATTTAAATTTTTAAGCTTAACTTTAAAAAATAGCACTTAGATCTAATTCTTAACTTTATTTTTAACCTTAGTAAAAAAGTGTTACCTTACATTTTATATTTAAAACTACTACTTAATTATATAAAAAGTAACATAAACTTAAAACTTTTTAAAAAAGTAAGTAGCTATCTACATGTATATAACACCTTTATAGAAAAGCCTAAGTAGATAGAGTTAGTACAGTTTAAGGTTAATCTTAGGACGTCCTCCTACATCGCCACTATATTAGTAAGCACTTGTATAATGTAACTATTTAGAAGACGCTTACTAGGCATTATAAAATTAACATGTATAAACGTGTATAAAATAATTATAAAGTTGTAAGTAGCTAAAGGCTACAATTATGTGCGGGGTAAAGAATTTTTAAATTAGCGATTAGTTTTTTCCCTTCACCAGCTAACAGTCCGCCGTAAATACGAGCACTGACCCTCGCAACCAGGCGAAGTATGGAATGGTAAGGCTTGATCGGAGACCACTCTGCTCCTGATCAGCTTCTTGCCATGTGGTGTGTACATCAGCATGGACTGACCAACACAATGGGGCAGCTCCAGATCCAATGCATGGCAAAGTTCTTCCTGCATTGGCTGCGCTGGCTTCCCCAAGTTCGGCGTCAGTCGTTCTTGAAGGGCACGGAAGTGGAGATTGTTCTTTAAGATGATGTTCATGTTGGTATTGGAACCGGAGAGATTATACGCATGTGCGAGGGTTGGGCTAGCAATTGTATGTGGAAGGGATCGTAATTCGTCAACGTATTTCGAGGGAAGTACGATCAAGTCGGTGTCCGCTCGGAAAAACCTCCAAGCTTTCGAGGGATACTGGGTGAACCACAATCAGTACCTTATTATCGGGAGAGACCCAAACTGGGAGTACCTGACAATAACCCTCGTGGAGTATGGACGTCGCATCACGGAAGAACCTCAAGCCTTTCATGAATCTCGGCTCAAACTTGGAATTAACACCAAGAAGCGGGATCGTTCCCTCAAAGCGTTGCTGGTAGGCCCAAAAAAGGCATTGCAGAATGAAATACGATCCAATCAGATACATCCAGCCAGTTGGTGTCGCAAGCACGTTCGTTGATCGGGTTATGGCGACTGCCACATCACTTGGCATGGGTCGATATGCCCTGGAGAGAGTGACAAGCATCTTGGATATCTTGGAACTCTGTGACGCTGTTTGTCGAGTTTTGGTGGTGTCCTTGTTGAGAAATAGACAAAGAATGGTGTTGCGGTTCAGGCGAGCACCAATAAAGATATAGAGAGTAACCTGTAGGATAGCACATGAAGGCGGGTGGTGATCCTTATATGTACAGTTGCCTACTAAAAGTAACTAGCCTCTTAGTAATCTAATCTCTGTAGGGATAGATTTAGCCTATCTAGGAAAGCGATTATTTATCTATTAGCTACTTAAATTTAAATATTTCTATTTTTAGAAAAAGACTACACTCTAGCTAATTTTTAAGTAGTATAATTTTATTAATCTTAAGTTAATCTACTTTTTATTTTAAAAAAAACATAACTTTGTTTATACGCTTAACAAACTTAGAATACGCTTGATATAATTATCTTCTATAGTTTTTACTAACTTCTCTATACTATTATCTACTATATGCTTACTAGTAGTAATATATTTTTGTTTCTTATAAAAGATGTAGATGTATAGCCTATTAGAATTTTTTAATTAGATTTAGATTAGAACTTAATAGAAATTAAGCTATTTATATTAAACTTTAGTTGTTTATACACTTTTAAGCGTACGTTTTATAAAGTATCTTCGTCCTCTATAAGAATAAATATAGTAGTAAGTCTTTAACAGCATTATAATAGCTTAGAGTAAGTAAAATAATTATTTACTACCTAATATAACGTACCTAACGGGTTGGCCGGCCACTTTTGCTAAGCCCCTACTAAAACCACCCTATTCTAGCGCAAAACAGCCCACTTTAGCCCTATATAAAGTAATACAACATAAGATATTATTTAAAGTCTACTTTTACTACTTTTTTACATATATATAAGTTATGCCTAGTCTAATTGCACTAGTCTAATTGCACTGCTTGTATTACTTTTAACTTAGCTTACCTTCTTTAGCGCGCACTTATATCTTTAGCTTTTTTCTATTACTACACGCTCTAAACTTCTTTAGAGTAGTTAGATAAGCTTTATTTTTAACTATTAAAGTCTTTTTTACTTAAATTTACTTTTTTTTATATAATCTATATTATGTAGTAGCCTTATTTACTACTTAAAGCTTTATAATCTCCTTTTACACTAACACTAGCTTATGCGCAATAATTGCTGCCCTTTTTAAACCTTTTTTAAAGGCTTCTACTATAAATACTAGTAAGCTATTTATATGCTTTTAAATTTTTACTTTTATAAGCATTAATTATAACCTAAATTTAAAGGTATTACTTAAGGTTTATAACTACTAAGGCTTACTATTAATAAGTAGTAGTAGTAATAAAGTATATAACTAGATATTAAAGGCTATTTTAACTTATTTTAAGTTAAATAGGACTAAACTAGCACTTTAAAACTCTTTTTAAATATTACTAGAAGTAATTACTGCATTATAAGCGTGTATAAAGGATAGTAGAAACTTAAGTTTTATAATATAAGTAATCTAGTTATGTATAAGATTTTTAGCTTAGCACTTATACACCTTTTTTAAAGAGGCAAAACAACTTATATTAAGAGGCTATAAAAGGTGTAATAAGTATAAAAGCATATAAATAGTAATAATTTTATTTTTTTTATAGTACTACTAAAAATTAAGTAAGTTATAGCTTTTATAGCTATTAATAATAAAAAGCTAATAAGTGCTTATAATTTTTTTTTATATGCTTATTAAAGTGCTTTAACTACTACAGCTTAAGCTTATTTATTATCTAGCTGTTCTTAGAGACTATAATAACCTAGTTTTAAAGTAGATTTTTTTTATACTAGGTAAAAAAGTAATAGCAGCTCTTAAAAATAATAAAAAGTAGAATAGTTTACTTTATTATATTAATACTTTAAATAACTATTATCTACTTTTTATTACTTTACTATATTACCTTTAGCTGTCTTTATTTTTCTAAAGCTATAATAACTACTCTAGTTAATACCTAGCTTATTATAAAGCCTAACTTATTAAAGTTATATGTGTCTTCATTTTAAATACTATACTTAGCTTTTATGTTAGCTACTAGGTAAAACTAGCTTTAAATAACCTTTAGATTCTTATAAAGCGCTTTTTTATAATTATACTTATAATTAAACTTTATTATAAACTTAGAGCAGTGCTTAACTTATATACTAGGCTAGTTTAAGCTAACCTAGCCTAGATTATACTTTATGCGCAAGAAATTAGCTATATTAGCTATAGCTATAAGCCTAGAGAGAAATCTGTGTATAATAAGCTTAAGTATATACTTAATATGTGAAGCTATGTGGGGCACCAAAGGCATGAGGAACTGCATTGTATTGTCTTGCTAGAGGAGTCCTTTGTAGCAGTCTATATACATGCGAAATGAGTGGGTGAGTCTTGGCAACAGATCATGGTGACGACGCATACGACTATGATGACGACGCATCCGATCATGGTGACGACGCATGCGACCATGGTGACGACGCATCTGACTATCGTGTGATTACTGCAAACATAATAACTACCTTTTTTTTAAGCTTAGTTAAATTTTTTAATTTAAGCTAGTATTTTACTTATAAAGGCTATTTAGCGTGTTAATTACTTAGTGTTATGTAAAAAACATTATAAATAGCTATAGTATGTTATAAAAAGAGTTTTAAGTCTTATTTAAAAGCCTAAAAAGTAAGCTGTATCTAATGTTCTTTAAAAGATTTAATCTAGTGTTGTTGTTAAGGCATTATGTAGATAGGTAGAGTGTAGTAGGGGCTTAGCAAAAGTGGCTAGCCAACCTGTGTGGCCGGCTAACCTGTTAGGTACGTTATTCATTGCTTCTTTGTGTTTTTATTTAGCTTTAGAGGCTAGCTAGTATACAATGCTTTTGTATAGATAGATAAGGGTTGCTTACGCGCCTATAAGATGTTATCTATAGCTAGTAATTTAGAAATGCTAGTTATAGTTATATAGAATTGCTTTATTATATTAACAGAGGACTGAAATAACATTTTCTGTACAGTTTTATTTACGTTTATAGTATTTAGAAAAAGTAGTAATTTACTAACAGTACAATCATTTAAAATCTAAGCATTAGTATCTCTAAAGTGGCTAATAGCTTTTGGTAGGTGACTATACTTTTTAACTTCGAAACGCTCGCTCAAAAGCTCTGCCTCTATGCTAGCATGTCCAAACAATGATACATACTCGGACGCTGAGATGTCGTTGCTGTTGATAAAAGCGGTGGCCTGCACAATAGCAAGCGGTAGATATGTGAAAAGCTTAAGTAGTTCGTCAATAGTTGTGTTGTCACGATGCACGATGCACTACTTGCTTCATCATATGCCGCGCTAGCAGCTACTGGCTGCAGTGGATACTCTGCAGTACTTCTGGTTCAATACTTGCTGCATCAACCAGTCTGCTAGTCATGAGCTGAGCACGTCGATCAACTCTATGTTACCCCGGGATCAGTGTGCATCTAAGTGCTATGTATACCTGTCGGATGTGTCCGTGCCAGAGGTAGCCTCTGACACTGTAGCCTTCCATATAACGTGGGCGAAATCTTTCGACAGGGCCACTGGTTCACGCGAGGACTGGGCGCTTCAAGGTAAGGACTGCGAACGGTGCGGACATTGTGCTGACAATGTTGACTAGTGAGTTTAGTGGATCGCTACTTAGAAAATTGTGTGATTGTTTGGGTTGAGAGCTGAATTTACGGGATTCCCAGAACTGGATGGGATGAAGTCCGAAAGATATGCTCTCAAGCCAGGATCGCATGCATAAACGTATGTGCCCCGAATCCCTCGTGTCAAGAGCACTGCGTAGATCTGGGTTATGAACCGCAGCAAGTCGTCATCCGAGTAGGTCCTACCGAGCGCCCGATTATTTTCCTTGCCCTTTTTGTCAAAGTACGAGTCGCGATCGATATAAAGCCGCCTTCGAAGCGGATCGAAGCGCAATTCCAGACCAATAATGACACCAACATAATTTAAATCGTAACCCTGAACCGTGTGAACAGACCCAACTTCCTGCAGCGCGTTTTCAGAAGAAACCCAATCCGTTGGCGTACTGTTCCAGCGAAGTCTTGTATCGCCAATTTCAATATCAAAAGCCGTCTTGTCCTTCTGAGTCTTCCACTCCCAAGCGTAGCCAGCAACCATGCGTGAAAGTCCCGCTTCAGCGTTGCGTTGGAAAATCTCATCTCGCATTTCTTCAACGGTGTCGAAGGCTCGGAAATCATATTCTCCAAAACTCAGTCGCGATCGCGGAACGGAGAGAGGGTTAGGATCAAGGATCCAGCGAATGTAAGACACAAAATCTGAGCCCGCTTGTACACGCATTTGGGTGCGGAGCTGGAAATGCCGGCCTGTTGCACGAGTATCCGCAACGAGATCTGAAAGCAGCTCTTGTGGAAGATCAGCCGGTCGAACGCTCTGCATTGCGTCCAAAAGGAAAATTTGCTGCCGACTCTTTGCCAGGATCCAATCAAGCTGGGTCTTACTGAAGTCGTCGCTGCCGAATAGCTCCCTTGTGATAGTTGTAAACTTTCCATTGAGCACTCCTGACGGTTGATTAGCGCGTTGATTGAGCCGATGAGTCTCGTCAACTATTAGCATATCAAAAACCTCATCTGCTTCTCCTACTTGGAATGGTGTCATAACCATGTCCGGGTGGAGCCCGCGCGTCTTTCGAAAAACATCTTTGATGGTGCCGCGCAACGACTGCTGCGGTACGACCAACCCGATTCTGCAATTTTGAAGGAGACTTTGGTTGATTGCAGTGAAGAATTCGGAAAACCGCGAGTCGCTGTCGAGATCTTCGAGCGAGTTGAGTGCTGCAATGTCGACAAGGAGCTTAATTAAGTATATAGCAACGACGGTCTTGCCGGTGCCTGGATCGCCCTGGATCACAATTGCGCCTCTCCTGCCCGTCGAGAGGTCGATGAAGAACTTCGTGAGAATCTCTTCGACGGAATTTGCTTGATCTTCCGTTAGCGCTTTGTAAGGAGATAGCTTGAAGAGGCTGCTGTTCTCGATTTCCGGAATACTTCGCGTGAAGACCCCATCAGATCTGAGTTGGTCGAACACAGCTCGAAACCCCGCGCGATATGCTTCCCTCTGGTAGTATTGTGCGTCGGTGATGCCGTTGTTTCGATTGAGCACTTGATTGGCGCCATCACCAGCCATCATTCTGATAAGATAGGACTCCAAGTCTAGACAAACCGACTTGTTGTATTTCTCGTGCAGGATGACCCGGACGTTCGTCAGATGTTTTTTCGCTGGTGATTCGAGGTGTTGGCGTAATCGACCCACCGCGTTGAGAGATTCTCCGACGTAGATATCTCTCAATACATTATTTGAGTTCCTCCCACCCGGGCGGTTATCGTTGTCTAACACATACACGACAGGCCAATTCCCATGTTTGTCATCTTGGGACCTCCATGTTGCAACAGCAGGTCTAGAGAACTCAACTTGAGCTATCTGGAAGCTTGTCATACTTTGTACTGACGCCTCGGGCCTTCTCCACGGGATACTTCTTGCGCGTGACTTCAAGTTTTTCTAGCACGATCTGATCCGGGTCGGCTCCAATGCGAATAGCGAGAAGGTGACAATACGTCAGGACGTCTGCAAGTTCCTCGCGCACACGCTTCGGCTCGGCGTCTGCGTTCCACTGAAAGCACTCGAGCAACTCGCCCGCTTCAATGGCTATACTCTTAGCGAGGTTCTCTGGGGTGTGGAATTGCCCCCAATCGCGCTCCGCAGCAAATGTGGCGAGTGCGTCGCGGACTGATGGCTCAACCATGTGATGCAGCAGTTACTGTTGCAGCGTCGTCTGAGCCTATGCCATTAAATAAGTATAAGCGCTGGACACGTCGTGTCACAGGATCTGACTTACAATATGACAGGTAGGCGGTTATTTGAATGGTTGTGGTATGGCGATGCGAGAGTGGAAAAAGCCTAGAGTCGACAATGGGACAGCAGGCCTTAAATGGGAGAGAGACTTTGTAAATCCTCAGCAAGAAAAGTGCGGTAAACTCAAGGATAGGAACAAAGAGGACTGATGTGGATGAATATATACCTCCACGTACCAGTCCGCCAAGAGAAGCGGGCCGCTGCGGCGCTAACATGCCCAATTAGATTGAGCCAAGTAGGCAACACCGCAGCCACTAAGTATGTTTATCCTCGCACAAAAATAGAGTTGCTACCTAATTCGAACAAGGCCCGCCAACCGAATTTGCCTAGGAAAAGATTCAAAAAAAGAAAAAAGCAACAGCAAATTGAAAAGTCGAATATTTCCTCTTTACCATCCTCACATTTTTAGGCTAGGGTTAAGCTTGATCTCTTTGCCATGTTGCGTGGACTTCTCTGCTAAGACTTACCATCTCCGAAATAAGAAATTATTCCCTCTGTTCCCTAAAGCCGTGCACAGTTTGATGGAGCATTACAGTTGAGACCTCTTTTATCTTAATAGTTACGAACACTCCTATTAGCCACATAGTTGTGCCACTGCTTATAATTCCGCCCTTATCTGTAATAAATCCTGGTTTCGCAACGCATATTACATCGCGAGCCTCATGTTCTGCAGCGAGTCTGATCAACTAAATTGCTATTTCGCCCAGTATAAGCCGGCGCGTTAGCTGTTTGATTTGGAGATCATCGATTGATACAACTGAATTCTGGGCTCTTACACGCATCTCTGAGTACTCTTTCATATGCGAAGGCATCCAAACTTTGACGTCTTTGCTACGAGGATTGATTGGATTGAATGCACTAAAGCCACTTATGTCCAAGAAACGAATCGGCTTTTTCGTCTCCGGGTTGGCGGAGAGAATGACCTTGAAACCTACCATGGTTCCACTCCTGGCAGACCTTGCACACTGTTTCGAAAGGGATCGAGCGCGCTTTGGAGGGTGTGATGGCGACCATCCTTAAGTGGCTAGCAGCAGAAGTTTATTCGATCACGTACGACATACCACATGCAAGCATCTACGCCGGCCAGCTCCTTTAAGCAACGCTTCAGCATGTTTGATGGTCGACTTAGACCCGAAATGTCCCTAAAGTGTTGTCATATCTTGAACATCCTAATCCAGACTCAGAGATTTGCTCCACCGCGACAACCGGGCTGTTGGTGCTGTCGACTTTGAGCTGGCCAGGATCTTGTAGAGTGGCGAATCTACAAGAGGTGGGCTGGCTGACGAACCGCCAGAGCGATAGCCAAGTTTGATCGCAAGGCTGCGGAGCTTTGGCCGGCCCGCTTGTTAGGTTGCGTTACGATTACATATGTCACAATCCTGTGCTAACCAAATTGGTAATAATTCCGGAGGTACAGACTGGTGGCGTTCCTACATGAATTAAGCGCCTCTCGCAACTTTGTCGGACCTAGGCTCAAACAAAACGACGTCCGTTGCGTGAATCGAACACCAAACACCCGGCATGCTACGGTCGAATGCCACACAATCCTGCAGTACCAGACAGCCTGATTGGCGGTCCTTTACCTGTCGACACATACATGGGACGAAAGAAGCCCGTGACTCCGTGGCAGAAGCGCCCCGTGGCAGGGAAGGCTGTGGCGTAGGACGCTGTACTGGAGACTGGGAAACCAGAAAAGCGCACTCGATTTTGAAAACGGAATCCCAGAAACTACACCCGTGTCCATTTCGTTCTAATTATATTCGGCCAACATCAGGTACATTTTGGCAGAGTCAGCCGTGAACCAATCCTTGGTCTGCGTAAGCGCTGGAACATTAAGTTGCTAGATTCCCTCCATGGCGTTGACATCGGTGCCTCTAGCAGCAGCTTGACAAACCACTCGCGGGCGTACGAAGCCGCCTGGAGTACAGCTACCCGCCGCTAAAGGTACGTTGTGTTCTATTTCATCGCATTCGCTATAGCAATGAGGGACTTGAAGCGTAACCCCATAGAAATACACCATGAATTCACAGTGACAGCAGCTTAGTATGTTCGCCCAGTAACGTGTTGGTGATATGTTTCCTCTCTATGAGTTTCGTGTCCACTTGTCCACCTGGACATGTGGCAAAACTCAGCTATATGGCCCAGCTACCACGCCGCAGGGAGGTAGGTAGCGGTCACCCCACGTAGTCTCCCAGGACGGGATCCAACGTTCCCGGATAGGTTTAGTGCCATGTCTTTGCGCAGGATAAGGAAGTAGGAGCGAAGGGTACTTTTTTTAGCCTTTAGTATGTAAATTATCTTGTTACAAATGATACCAACGAGGGTATTAACAACTAAGTAGAGGGGCGGAACCCAGTGTTGAGGCTTGCAGAAGGAAGGAAATGCATGGGAAAACGGTGGTGCGCGGGGCAGCTTAGGTCAGAACAAATTGCGTGACCATCCTGCGGCAGCGACGCTACGACTACCCGGTCGAACGGTCCTGGTAGTGTTAGTCTACGTTAAGATAAGAGATAAGCAAGCACTAAGGGAGACAATAAATCACATCTAGACCCTGATCTAAACCGCACACAACCAAACCAGGACGCGGGTGGACGTGGTCCTGGCAGGTGATTTTAACCAACACAACTAATTATAGGGAGGGGATGATGTGTTAAACACTTACTAAGGTAAAGCAGACTCTATTATACACCTTATAGCAGACTATTTACTCTACAGCCTACTTCCTAGGGGCACAAAAACATAGCAGTAAGAAATAAGCAAAAGCACTATTAATTTAATGCTAACCTTAGATAACCTAGTAGCTACAGCACTATGCTGTAAAGTCTATAAGACAGAACATAGGTTAGATTACAAAGTAATTAAAACAACCTTTAATATAAACACCCTAAGACAGTAAGCAGAAGCAAGACTATTATTTAAAAATGCACTATAAAAAGTAATATAAATAAAAGTTAAGAAGACACTTAAAGCTAAACTAATAAAAGGCAGTGTATAGTAATAGACAGATAGGCTAATAGAAGCAGCAATAAAGGCAGTCTACAAGCTAACTCTAAGAGCTAGGCCCTTGCTGTATACAAAAAGATAGTAGACTACAGACCTTACACAGTTATAAAGAGTATATATGTACTAAAAAAATAAGGCAAAAGCAGAATAGTAGGCAGAAAGGATAAGTATAAAGATAAAATAATAGGTAAAGGTAGTAGTAAAGAAATTTTATAACGCAACACAGCAGCAGCGCAGAACCTACTAGAAAGACTTTTTAGTAGATAATGCTAATATTTAGAAAGCTATAAAATACCTTAAGCTAGATAGTGCTGCAACATTTAATAAAATACTTTTTTTAAAAAAAACTAATAAATTAAGCATAAAAAATAATCTAAAGAGAGTAGATAAGTTACTATAGTTATTTTTTCTACTACTTCTAAACACTATTAAGAATAAGAGTAAACACTAGCAACATAGCCTAGTTAGCATGCCTAACCTAACTATAGACAAAATAAAATGCTGTCTGTTTACAGCTAAGCTATAGAAGGCACTAGGCAATAATAGGCTCCTAGTTATAGTATAAAGGCAGCTATAGCTAGTTATAAAAGAGAGGATCTTACTTTTATTTTAAACATTACTAGAGAAAGGGGTTATCCTAGCACAGTAGAGAAACGCTTAGATTATTTTACTTAAAAAGCTAAAAAAAAAAAAGCAACTATAGAGTAGTAAAGTTATAAAAACTTATTTTTTTACTATTAACTTTTAGTAAGATCTTTAAAGCTATTATAGTAAAAAAAATCTTATATATAATAAAAATATATAAGTTACTTTTTATAAACTACTTTAGTAAAAGAAAATAGTAATTAGTAAAATAAGTGCTATTAATATTATAAAAACATATCTATAACATATAGAAATTTAGAAAAGTGCTAAGTCTAGTAAGCTTTAACATAAAAAGGGTATATAATAGAGTATACAAAGACAGGCTAACCTAGAGGCTCTGTGCTAGAGGGATACTACTAGGCCTAGTATAATAGATAGACGCCTTTTACTTTAATTATATAGCAACTATTATAGTTAACAGCTACACATTTAAGAAGAAACTACTGCCCTAGGCAGGGCTTTTATAAAGACCTTTTTTTTCTTTAATTTTTTTTTTAATGCTAATTTAGTCTAATACTAGATTAATGCTTATAGTAGTTTATTTACTTTTATAAATAACTACAACACTTAAGTAATAAAACTTTTAGCTAAAAAAAATTATGTAAAACTTTAAAACATTATTAAAAAAGTAATAAAGTAAAAAAAAAAAAGTAAAGTAACTTTTAAAAAAAATAAAACTACTCTAATACACTTTATAAAAAATAAAAGTAAAATAAGTGTAAAACTAGTAAGTGTTAAAAAATAGCTAGTTAAACTAATAATAAAAGCTAAAATCTTAGGTGTTATTATAGATGTAGGGCTAAGATATAAGTAGCACATAGTAAGAGCAGCAGCAAGGGGCCTAAGGGCAGCCCTAGCGCTAAGGCAGTTATAGATAGTCTTCTTTACTATAGCCTAGCAGCTTTTTAAGTTAACAGTAGCACTAGTAGTAGACTACACATTAAGTGTATAGATGCACATGTGCAGCATAATTTTAATAAAAGTAATAAATAAAATATAAAAAATAAAAGCTTAAGCTGTTATAGGCTGCTTCTAAATAGTTACTATAGCTATAGCAGAGGCAGAAGTAAGTCTACAGACAGTGCATAAACACTACATAGTAAGGGCTATTAAAATGTAGATTAATGTTTATATGCTGCTAAAAATAAACTTTATATTAAAATTTTATATTATAAGCTTTTAATAGTTTTAATTACTGCTATAAAAATTATAAAATAGCTAAAAAAGCTTAATACTAACTAAATAAAAATAATTAATTTATATAGTGTGTAGCTATAAGACTATTACATTTTAGTAATAATTAAACTAGACTAAGTAAAGGCTATAACACTAGCTAACTAGTATAATAGTATTAGAATTACAACAAGCGCATCTATCTAGCTTAGTATAGTAAAGATAGAAGAGGTAATAGACAACATGTAGAAGGGAGCGCTTACTTAAGCTACTACTTTATTTTTTACCTTAAAACCTAGAACAGAGTAAAACCTCTATATAGCAGAGCTAGCAGTAATAGCAGCAGTGCTAACCTCTCTTCTAACATGCTAAACAGTAGACTAGGTTATTATTCTTACTAGTAGCTAAGTAGCTATATAAGTAATACACTAACTATAAAATTAGTCTAGCTAAGCTAGCATTAAATAAATCTATAATATAACTTAGGCACTAAAAAAAAGGCAGTGCTTTATATATATAGTATAGTACCTAGTAGAAAGTAATAATTTAGTAAAAAAGGCTAAAAAAGCAGTAAGAAAAGCTATAGCAGATAGCAGTGTGCTAACTAGACCTTTTTACTAAGTAAAGTTAATAGTAACTAAGACTATAGTAAAAAACTAAAGACAAAGAAAAAACTTACTAATAAAAGTAAAAAAATACTTACGTAAAATAGATATAGCTTTACTAAAAAAATATACTAAAAAGCTTTATAACACTTTAACTTAGTAAAAAGTAAAAATACTAGCATAATTATAAACTAAGATAACACAGCTAAACATATACTTAAACTAAATAAAAGCTGTAGACTTAAACATATGTATATATAGTTAAGTAAAAGAAACTATTTAGCACTTTTTTTTTAATGCTAAAGATAGAATACACTTTAAATATAAATACTTTAGCAAATAAAAACTAGAAAAAAAAACTTTTTCTTTTTTTTAAAGAAAAAAGCACTAGTAGACTTAGTAAAATAGTTGCTAAACATTAATATAGTAAAGATAATAGTTAGGTACGCAATAGCAATAGGCTACTTAGAGTAAAAAAGAAAATAAGAACCTAGAACTATAAAAATAATAGTAGAAAAAAACGCTTAATACTAACTCTATATAATAGTAAGCTCTACTTTACTTACTAATAAAAAAACTTTAAACACTTAAAAAAAAGACTTTAAAAACGCTTACTATAAATTATAATTAGAGGGATATGTAACAACTACACTAGATAGCAGAGCAGAAGGCATGTAAGGGCTACAAGGAGTTAAGCTATTACTAAGGAAGCGCTTAGGTAATAACACACTAGTGCCCTCTAGGCTAGAGCTGGGCGTAATAAAGACATCATCATCATCGACCATCCTGCGGGCCTTGGTGCAGGCCTTGGCCAAACCGCAGCAGGAAGCAGCAGCTTGCCGCATCCTATAGCAGAATACAGCAAGCTATAGGATTCTATTGTAGAATACTACTAATGTCGCATTTCTAGTACAGAAACTGTCGCACGTGTCTCACGCGATACTATGCGCGATACTATACCCATGTACTGCGCTATTCACTCATTAGGACTAGCTCCTTTTTCGTACAGTATATAGTAACCCCAGAGCTCTCTTGAGCCCCTGAGTATAGACAATACACTTTACTTCTCCAGCCTCTTATATAGCTGCATGCTTACACTACCCCTATATTTACAACAGCTAAGAGCAGCAGAATACGCTAGAAGAAAGGTAGATATATAACTTAGATTTTCAATAGTTAACGTCTTTTATAAGCGAGGTGTAAGGCATTCGGTGTTTTACTGCGTATTGCACAGCTTTGGGAAATGTATGATTTTAGTAAACTGCGCTTTTAACCTTCAAAGTTCTTGAGACTTGACGTATTTCATATGCGAGCGGCGCACCCAAGCGAGCGCCGCAGCATCCCTACTAAAACGCCTCCACAACAACAACATAAAATACTATAACAACGCAAAGCATAGAATGCCTATAAAGTCCTGTTTACAGTAACGGAGCTCTCCATACTCTAGTCACCTACACTCCTTTGACCCACTGCTGCCTAGCTACCTCACAGGCTGCGGCCCAGAGCTATTGCTGGCCTTAAGTCACATGACGGGTTCATCTAGTACTATTAGTACTATATAAACCCGTAGTTGCCCCTCCTTTAGCAACAAATAATCCAGTTCCAGGAGGATCTTCACATGCCCCCCACCCCCCTGCAGGGCGGAAAATCCACCGTGCCGGAAAATACAAGTGTACTTCGACTTCAAGCAACCATAACTCTGCGCGCACATTAAACTATGCCATGGTTCTTTAAAAGTTGTGGAATAACTATAGCTAATTTTGAATATTTAGGATACTTCCTATTTCTAAATTACATTCGCATTGTCGCCTTTAGACTTGATTCACAAAGAGCCTCGTCCTATAGTGTATCAGACTTTCTTCCCCACAGCACCACCGCTATGCGCTTACCACTCTAACTTCTTGCATAAGGGTCTTATCTGACTCCTAGAACTCCACGTTGATGCTAGCAAGTTATGATCAGCCTTGTGCCTTGTGCCTGCTGTCGCGCGCAAATTCATGCAATACCGTATTTTATCAGCTGACGCTCGGCCCCACCTGACGCACACCCCACCACACACAACTACTCCCCTCATTTTCATAACTACTACAGCTATAAGCATGAAATTTTAAATATAAGGAATTATATATATATTAAGCTAAAATATAGTGAAAATTTTTTATATAATATATAAATTTTTTACTTAAAAAGCTTTATATTTAAATAAAATAGATATTAATAATATAAAATATAGATATTTACTTTTTAATACTAGCATATTTATAAAGTGTTATTTAAAGCTTAAAGTAAAGTTTTAAGTGTAAGTATAGTTAATAAATATTTAGTCTATAATAAAGCCTATTTTACTAAAGTTATATATGTTATTATTTTAGATACTATACTTAGCTTTAATATTCTTTATAAGGCTAAACTTACTTTAAATTACTTTAAGACATTTATAAAAAGCTTTTTTATAACTAGTTATACTATACTTAAACATTACTTTAAGGTTTAAATAACACTTTTTAAACATACTAGGCTAATTTATACTAATATAGCCTAGATTATACTTAGCGCGTAAAAAATTAGCTATATTAGCTATAAATGCTATTTAAAAAGAAAATTTTTATATATAACGTACCTAACAGGTTGGCCGGCTACATAGGTTAGCTAGCTACTTTTGCTAAGCCTCTACTACACTCTACCTATCTACATAATGCCTTAACAACAACACTAAATTAAATTTTTTAAAAAATATTAAATATAGCTTACTTTTTAAGCTTTTAAATAAAACTTAAAACTCTTTTTATAATATGCTGCAGCTATTTATAATATCTTTTACATAACACTAAGTAATTAACACGCTAGACAGCCTTTATAAGTAAAATGCTAGCTTAAATTAAAAAATTTAACTAAGCTTAAAAAAAAGTAGTTATTAAGTATATACTTAAGCTTATTATATACAGATTTTTCTTTAGGCTTATAGCTATAGCTAATATAGCTAATTCCTTACACATAAAGCGTAATCTAGGCTAGGTTAGCTTAAACTAGCCTAGTATATAAGTTAAGCACTACTCTAAGTTTATAATAAAGTTTAATTATAAGTATAATTATAAAAAAGCACTTTATAAAAATCTTAAGGTTATTTAAAGCTAGTTTTACCTAGTAGCTAACATAAAAGCTAAGTATAGTATCTAGAATAAAAACACATATAACTTTAATAAGTTAGGCTTTATAATAAGCTAGATATTAACTAAAGTAGTTATTATAGCTTTAAAAAGATAAAAACAGCTAAAGGTAATATAGTAAAGTAATAAAAAGTAGATAACAGTTATTTAAAGCATTAATATAATAAAGTAGGCTATTTTACTTTTTATTATTTTTAAAAGCTACTATTACTTTTTTACTTAGTATAAGAAAAAGAATTTACTTTAAAACTAGGTTATTATAGTTTTTAAAAACAGCTAGATAATAAATAAGCTTAGGCTATAGTAGTTAAAGCACTTTAATAAGTATATAAAAAAAAGTTATAGGCGCTTATTAGCTTTTTATTATTAATAGCTATAAAAGCTATAACTTACTTAATTTTTAGTAGTACTATAAAAAAAATAAAATTATTACTATTTATATGCCTTTATACTTATTACACTTTTTATAGCCTTTTAATGTAAGTTATTTTGCCTTTTTAAAAAAGGTGTATAAGCGCTAAGCTAAATATCTTATATATAACTAAATTACTTATATTATAAAACTTAAGTTCTTACTATGCTTTATACACACTTATAATATAGTAATTACTTTTAGTAATATTTAAAAAAAGTTTTAAAGCACTAGTTTAGTTTTATTTAACTTAAAATAAGTTAAAATAGCTTTTAATATTTAGTTACATAGTTTATTACTACTACTACTTATTAATAATAAGCTTTAGTAGTTGTAAACTTTAAGTAATACTTTTAAATTTAACTTATAATTAATGCTTATAAAAGTAAAAATTTAAAAGTATATAAATAGCTTACTAACATCTATAGTAAAGGCTTTTAAAAAAGTTTTAAAAAGGGTAGTAATTATTACGCATAAGCTAGTGTTAGTATAAAAAAAGATTATAAAGCTTTAAGCAGTAAATAAGGCTACTATGTAATATAAATTACATAAAAAAGTAAATTTAAGTAAAAAAGACTTTAATAGTTAAGAATAAAGCTTATCTAACTACTTTAAAGAAGTTTAGAGCGCGTAGTAATAGGAAAAAGCTAAAGACGCAAGTACGCGCTAAAGAAGGTAAGCTAAGTTAAAGGTAATATAGGCAGTGTAATTAGACTAGGCATAACTTATATATATATAAGAAAGTAGTAGAAGTAGACTCTAAATAATATCTTATGTTATATTACTTTATATAAGGCTAAAGTAGGCTGTTTTGCGCTAGAATAGGGTGGTTTTAGTAGGGGCTTAGCAAAAGTGGCCGGCTAACCTGTGTGGCCGGCCAACCTGTTAGGTACGTTATAGCTTAAGTATAGTTTTAATAATTACTTACTTTTTATTATTACTTAGCTTTTATAAGTTAGCTATAGAATTAGCTTATAAAAGTTATCTAGTGCTATAGTTATTTATTATTTTTTAAAAAACTTTATATATAGCTGTAGCATGTTTTTTTAAAAGTTTTATATTTTATTTAAAAGCTTAAAGTGTAAGCTATATCTAATATTCTTTTAGCACATCTAAGTAGTGTTGTTAGAAATGCATTAGTATAAAAAAAGTAGTTTAGTAAAGTCTTAGTAAAAGTAAGTAACTTAAGTGTGTAAGCAACTTGCCTGTAAAGTACGTTAGTAAAATGTTATAATTTTAATAGTAGTAAGCTAATTTCTACTTTTAGCCCTACATAAGATCTGCTTAAATTAGGTAATATAAACTAGTAAAAGCTTACTTTTATTTTACTATAGCTTATGTAAAGCCTACTAGGCCTTATAAATTTTATTAAGATTAGTATATACTTATTATAGCTACTATAAAATTATTTTTTAGCATCTAATAGCAGTAGTAGTATAGTAGTGTATACTGTAAGCTTTAAGTTGTTTTATATAAAGTAAAATTAAGCTATATTATTTTTAATTATATTACTATCTACTACTATCTTAGCTTTAATAGTTAGTAGCTAGGTTTTAAATTTATATAGCTTACTATTAAATTTAGTTAGTGTAAGAAAAACTAGCTTTAGATAAAAAAAAAGGTAGTATTAGTAATAATAGTAAGTGTAGCTTATAGTGCTTAGTTTTTAGCATGTAAGCTTTAAACTCCCTACTAAAAATTAGCTTATAAGGCCTATATCTTAGCCTAAAGCTGCTGTATTAGGTTGTTTATTATGTAAAAAAAGTAAAAAAAGTAAAAAAAGTAAAAAGCTAATTATATATATGTAAAGTAAAAGCTAGAGTGTAATAACTAAGCTAACCTATCTCTAGCAGAACCTAGAATTATGTGCGTGTGTATAAAAGTTGCGCTCTGTCTCTACTATTAATATAATAAAGTATGTTAGCATCTATTAACCTAGAATTATAAGTGTGTGTAGAGGCGTGTCTTAAAAAAAACTTAGGCGTGTGTATGTGCATATGTACTTAAGCTTTTATGTTACCTAAGAAGTTTAATCTAATGTTATAATTAGCATGCTTAAGCTACAAGCAAGAGGTGGTGTAACCTAACTAGATTAAACTAAGGAGCAGAGGAGCTGCTCTGTGAGTTTAAATATACATGTGTGCCCCCTGCCAAGACGCTACTTGTTGCGTAAGCGAGGGAGCTGAAGCTGTAGAGCATGTGACGCGGTACGCGCCGTCACATCTAGTCTAATTTATATTAAACTACGTAAGTGTAAACTAAACTATAAACTTTATTAAGTATGCTATAAAGCTTAAAACACCTTTTCTATAAATATAACTATAAAAGTAGCTTATAGTTATAAGTAACACTATTACTAAGTGTAAGATTTATAAAAATAAGATTTATAACATTAATAAAAAATAGTTTAAACTAGTGTTTTATTTTCTTATATAGTTATTACAGCATGTAAAAAGTGTTGTAACTAAGATTTAATCTAACTAGATAATTATAAGTAGGCTATAGTTATTAAATATATTTAGTAACCTTTTTTATAAAAGTAAGTTATAACATTTTAAAAAGTAAATAAAGCTATATTACACTATAAAGTATAAAGAAATGTTAAATTTAAAATAAAAAAGGTTTCTAGTTATAAATAAAGTAGATTTAAGTTTACTATTAAATAATAAGTAAAATATAAAAATTTAGCTACAATAGTATAGAATTATCTACTATACTATAAAGTTAACAACACTATAGCTACTACTACTAGTAAAGTTACTATGTTAAAACTTATACTATTTATAAAGTAGATATTATAGATTAGATTTTTTCTTCTTATTTTATAAATTTATATAGATGTTGTAGAGTAAAACGTAATTTAAGTACAAAAATGTTGTTAGAGTAGACTATTTGCTTGTGTAGACTGCTTGCTTGTAAAATACGTTAATAATAAAAATGTTAACTTCTCTAAGCAATAAAGGCTAGTTTAGAGAAAGTTTAATGTACTTTTAGTAATAAAAAATTAATAAAGATAAAATAATAATAATTATTTAGATAAAACACTAGGCAGTTTAACATACCTTTATTAATAAGGGTAATACAGAATTCTCTGTATTGTGTACTATAGAAACACGTCTAACAGTGTTATAGAACATCATCTAAATGCACACACGCTGCACTCCTCCTAGTAGACAATTGCTACTCTAAAAAGCCTATCTTAATTGTACTACAGTTAAAATCTATAGCCTTATTAACTGTAAGGACTAATTGAAAATCCTCTACAGCTATGCGGCTTGCATGGCCATAGAGAACTGAAACGTACCAATCGTAGTACGGACTGTTGGACAAGCTGCCAGAAATCCTCTCTGCACAATTTTAGAAACCACGCCTGCCTTCCTATGCAGCTCTTTCGACCTACGATGCCAACAACTGAAGGGTCTACCATAACCTAACATCCTACTTAAGAGTTTCTCAGTATGCTTGCAATAATCTCCCTCGCTTTTTGGAGCGCCTGATAGAACGATTCGACGCCATGGGTTGGCGCCTTAATGAAGAATTTACACCTAATGTAATTATATGTCAGCAATGAACTTTTGATGATATTTAAAAGATACCAAGTAGAAAGGAACCGACGATGCTCACTCTTCATCTAAAACTTCATAATGGATCCACACATGCTCTGGATCTGGCATGACCCACCCTCCTTCTTGGAAAAGCCCATTGGTCCAATCGGTGCAATCCGTCATAAGCTTCGCCGGTCGTGTGCGTTGATACGTAGGATCGATGAATAGCTCCAGTGCCGGCTCTTCGCCCTTCCTCATTTCTTGCAGAGCGTACAAGTGTCCCGCGAAACCAAAGCCCCGACTCGCCCTTGTCACATTGACAGTGTGTGCTTGCGCCGCAGCCAGGAACAGCGATCGCATTTCAGTCAGAAGACTCTGATCATTGACTCTGTCCTTCAGCGCTGCAGTACAGAAGCGAAAGACTATAGGCAATACAGTCTGCACGATGTCAACGCGACCACGTCGAAATGATCGCATCGAGACCGTCTCCCATGAAGGCACTTGCTGGCCAAAGTAAATGCGTGCCGCAAGCTGGATCAAAATTTGACAGCCTGCGCGAGGGGCACAGCCATAACCTCGAAACAGGGCGGCTCCCATCTTTCGGAGCCGGTAGTTCCCAACTTCACAGGCCAGCGGGGCGGTGATGATTTTGAACCTCTGCTGAATGCGGGAAGCCTCGGCTATAAATTTATCCGCCAAATCAAAATGGAGACGCCGATATGCAACGGGTGTATGGCCATTTATAAATTCATGACCATTAGTCAACAGAGAACTGTTCGTCAAGGCTGTCCCAGAACAGTTTTCGGCCAGTCGCTTACAGATATGCTCGTTAAGTTGTTGTAGAGTGCCTCCGTCAATGATGGAATGCTCAGCGACAATACCTGATACACCATTTTCGCATATCACGAATTGTAGAGACTTGTCGGACCATCGGTTCGTGGTACTACTCAATAGGAACTGTCTCCAGCGCTCTGAGGCACCCTCTGGTGCATCGTCGTCTAGACACACAGCAAACGCACATGCCTCAATAGTGTCAAGGACATCTCGGTTTGCTGCGCTTGCTCCTCTTAAGAGTTCTCGATTCTATTTTCTTTGCTTAGCCAAAGTGTCAGCAGGGTCATATACACTTGTAACGTACCCTTGCCCAGCTGTCTCTATCATCGGCGGTCAAAGACGCGAGAGAGGGATTCGTGTCCGAAGATTCATCTATTATGGAGGAATATATCTCCTCCAGCTGCTCCCATGATACGGGGCTCCCGTTTTCAATGAGGGAAATCTGGAAAATCCAACCTCGCCTCAACACAATCGCATGGTCATTGCACGGAAACTTTCGCATCACGTCCTTCTCTTCATGCGGCTCCCGTGTGGTATTGAAGATCCAGTCCAATGAGCTCATGCACAGTGGCTGCTCATTCAAAACATCAGATGATATATCTCCGGATTCAAGACGCATCTTGAATTCAAAAGCAGCCGCAGAAACCATGGCGGCCTGTTTCGCCTGGCGGTTGACCCCCTCGACATCGCAGTCAAATCCAGCCCCAAAGTGCTGGAACGGATTGACTGGGGCTCGGCACCGCAGATAGACATGGTCTGTGTAAAGCTCAAATTGCCAGGCGTCAATCTCTGGATCATTTACGCGCTCGATAAGCCGTTGCTGTAGCTTCATACCCGGACTATTGGGATCTAGAAATTCTGACACCAACTTCTTTGTCTTTTGCAATTGTTTCTCGTCACAGAAGCTCTCGACTGCTTCTACATACAAATTTAGAGATGACTCCAACTCGGGCAGAGGAAGTTGAGGAAGTACTAGAGCTGCGGACCTCTCCAAGTTTTTTCCAGCTATGGTGGCATCCCTAATGCCGTTGCCCTGGTCGTCGGAACCTGAGCTGCGTAGCTCATCGGGGACTAAATTTGATCTTTCTAAAATGTGATGTGCTAGAGCAGATAGGCTTGGCATATCAAGAATCTCGCTTGTCTGTATGGTGACTTGTAATGTACCACGGATCCAGTTCTTCAATTCAATGGCGATGAGAGAATCCATACCGAGATCTACAATAGGCCGGTTAAGATAGATATCGGTCGGCTCCATTGCCATGAGCGCTGCGATCTTTCCAGTCATGCCTGACAGTATGACTTCCAGAGCCTTTCCTTCAGTACTTGCCTCTGCAATGAGTTGTTCTATGCTTTTTGTCGCCCTTGAGCCTTCGGTCTGCTGTTGGTTTTTGGAGAAATGCGGCATCGGACTGAACATGGGATTACGCAAAATAACTTGCTGGTCCTGTTCTTTGAGGGATTCTCGATCAACACCAATGACAATCTCTTTCACCTGGTCTAGCCGTGCTTGAGGACTAAGAGCATAATTAAGAAGCGAGAGAAAGTGGGACATTTTAAGTGGAATGCAACCGGCCCTGATCAATCCTGTAACTCGCTCCGGATGTTTAGCAATTACATCCGAATCCTCAATCATACCCAGATTCAAGGACACAAAATGCGTATGAGGGTCAGGAGGAAAGCTAGCCAGGTGGTCTTGGAAAGCATTTCCGGCCGCATAATTTGCCTGCCCTTTCATGCAAATTATACCGGTCAACGAGGAAAGCATTACGAAGAAGTCCAGTCCAGAGCCTGAAATTGCATCATAGAGGTTCCAGGTTCCGTCGACTTTGGGTAGCAAGGCAGCCTTGAAATCTTCGCCTGTCATTTCGCCTATCAAACGATCCTGGCAGTAAGTGTTAGTTTATCCCCAGTCTAAGGTTCCAAGAGGCTTACCTGTAGCACCATTGCGGCTTGAATGACTCCCCGTATTGGTGGCATTGTCCTCCGAGCCAATTCAACGGTTTCCATCACCATGTTTAAGTTGGTAATATCGCACTGAGCAAGGTGGACTTTCGATCCATATGACTGGATTTCAGAAACAAAGGCCTCTTCTTCTGACATTTTCAGCTTCCTGCGCGAAAGGAGCAAGACATTTCTGGCTCCATGTTTCGCTAGAAAGCGGGCGGCGTGTCTTCCTAGGTCCCCTAATCCACCAGCTACGACGTAAGTACCTTCGCGGCTGAGTTCCAGAGATGGCAGTCCCGTGGGTATGGCTTTGACAATAGCATCACTCTCGGCCACTAAAATGACTTTACCAGTGTGCTTTCCACTTTGCATAAACCTGAAGGCCTGTTCAATTTCCCCAATCTCAAAAGTGGTGATCGGATTTGCGACTGTAAGGCTTCCGTTCTCGAACAAGCTGAAAACATTTTTCAGTAAATTTTGGATGGTAAGTGGCCGGAGCTCACTCATAAGCGTAAGATCAACAGACGCAAAGGTCACATTTTTGTCAAAAACATCCATCCTTAGACGGCTTTTCTTAAAGATATCGGATTTGCCAATTTCGACAAAGGTTCCAAACGGCGCCACGCAACTCCATGAAGCATGCAGACCCTCGCCAGCTAATGAGTTAAGGACGACATCGACTCCTCGGCCTTGTGTCAGGTGAAGAATCTCTTTCTTGAAATCCCTCGTACGACTGGAAAATATGCGGCTGCTTGGTATCGAGTAGTCGTTTTGTAGAAGCTGACGCTTTGCGTCAGTGCTCACTGTCGCATAAATCTCAGCTCCAACGTGCTGCGCAATTTTGATCGCAGCCTGGCCAACACCGCCAGAGGCCGAGTGGATAAGAACTGACTGACCAGGCTGGAGGCGAGCAATATCAATGAGGCCGTAATATGCTGTGCTGAAAATGACCGGTATGGAAGCGGCTTCCACGAAGGACATAGAGTCTGGGATTACATGGACATTGTAACCCCGGGCTTTGGCTTGACTGGCAAATGGAGTGGCGTGAAATGCGCACACCCGATCCCCTGCCTGGACGTAATCTTTGAAGTCACTTCCCACTTTGGTTACAATACCAGCACACTCGCCGGTCATTTGAACTCCTGGTTTCATCTGACCCAGAGAAATGAATACATCTTTAAAGTTAACTCCGCAAGCCGAAGTCTGAATTATGATTTCGTCTGACTTCAGTGATTCCTCTACATTTTCGTCATCAACAAAGATCAGAGAGTCGAGAAGTCCAGGTTTTTGCACAATCATACGCAAGCCCCGAGTGGGATGATGGAAGTTTGTCATTGAAAATTTCGGTATCTTGCCTGGACTCATTGCTACAGCGTTAATGGCGTAATCCGGAATCAAGCGCGGAATCAGCAATTGGCTGTCTCGGTAGACGAATTCTATATCTTCGAGATTGCTTTGGGGTCCGTTTTGCAAGCAGGTGAGCAGGACTTTCGAGATTGCTTGTGTCAGGCCTCCCCGATTGATCGTGAGGTCTTGCTGGATATCAAAAGTTACAATTTTCAATGTAATGTTCTCTGCCCTCGCAATTCGAGAAAGCCCTGTTACAAGCCCTTGGGTAGCATTTCTGCAGCCTGTTTGAATTCGACCTCCGGTAATCCAAAGTATTTTAGAAGCACGCATCAACAAATTGGAGATGTGCGAGAATAGCACATCGGACGGATTCAGGGTCATCGGGTCCCCATCTATGTCTATAATGACATGAATGGAATCGTCAATGTCGGTCGCAGATGGCCATTCGATGATCGTGGGGGAGGTCCCTTTGCTCTCAAGCTCCGTGATCAGCTCGGCCCGGAAATCGTGAGCGCGCGTAGTCATGCGTCCAGCGATAAATTTAATGGCAGGGTGTTCCTGTATATCAGCTCTCTGTGTGGTCCCGGATATGATGAGCGAGGAGCGATGCGCGGGACCCTCGAGGTCGTTTATGGCAATTTCGGTCCCAAGAAAGCCCGATTGCAAAAGAACTTCATTCCACCTGGAGACGGAGAGAAGGGGTCCATTCATCCTTCCATCGTCTATCCCAGCCCACCATCCTGGAAGCAGGCCAAAAGTCGTCATGTACGGGGATGTCATGTGGACAGTCTCGATCAGAGCGAGCTTTCCACCTGGCTTTAGCAGCTTTCTAACGTTAGCAAGGCTTTTGGCCACAAATTTTGTAGCATGGATGACATTAGATGCGACGACCAAGTCGTACTCCTGTGCCTCGAACCCTTGACTGATAGGGTCTCGTTCGATATCTAAAGTACGAAACCGAAGAATGTCTTCCCAACTCTTGAACTTTGAATGTGCATGATCAAAAAAGCCGGAAGAGATATCCGTGTAGTCGTAGCTCTTAAAGATCAACCCACTGCTGTCGCTATGTGCCTCGAGAAGAGATAGTGTCGTGCCCCCAGTACCTGCTCCAACTTCCAAGACTTTCAGATACGGCTTTTTGAACGAGAATTTTTTCAGATACTCTGTGAGATGGGAGTAGCAGTGCATAGAAGAGTCCTCGGAATATACGCGATACAGCAAGTTGTCTTCGAGCATGACTGCGAGAGGGTCGCTCTTGCCGGTAACGATATCAAGCAGGCAAGGCCCCGTGCGGGTAACTATTTCGCCCTCTACACCCGCAAGTTTTGCCCTCGTGTGAACTATGTATTCGCTCTCTGCATCAGTAGAGAGAAGGCTCATGCCCAAATCTGAGTCGACATACACTCTCATCCAGTCAATTAGAAGCCTGTGGTGCTTTGCAGGGATTTTTGGTTTCGCCTCATCAAGTGCAGCAAGCAGCGATTTGATGTATAACGAGGCAGACAGATTGAGCAGGGTTGCCTTCTCTTCAGCATGCTTGTCCCGAGGATCTGGCAAAATTTCAGGTTGTAAAGTCGGCGGTTGGGATTTGAACGTAATGTCAGGCTTCCATTCCATTCTGTAAGTAATGAGACGCTCTGTGTTAGCTTCGAGAGTAGACGCTTCTGCGTCTCCTAATCCACGCAGCTCGCAATTGGTGACACGGAGAACCCGAACGAGTTCTGAGCTATCCACGTTTTGGAAGACATCCGTGTTGACGACCGCTGAACGTATGCTTGATGGATTCAGACTCGTAAGCACCTGCAGCTTTGCGCCGGGCGCACTAGCTAGTCGTGCAGAAATTGAGATGTGGTCAAGGAAAACTGGCATAATCGAACCGCGAGAACAATGTCGAAGATATAGCAATAAACTGGGCTGGAACACTGTGTCCAGCGTCGAGGGATGAATAACATGGGGCTGTGCAAACTTGGATGGCATGCACTCGACGATGTTTGGTGTTTCCACCATTCCGAATGCCCGCTGGCCATTAATGCTAATTCTCTTAAGATTGGAAAAGGTTCGTCTGTATATGTTCCCTACTGATTGACATTGCTCATAGAATTGCTGCGATGTAATATCTTCGGGATCTGTTTTCTCACATGCGTGAGGAGACTGGATCCAATCCTTAAAGATTTGGTTGCAGGTGGTATCTCCCTCTAGAGTCACATGAGCAGAATCATCGAATTCAACGGCAATCTGCCCTCTGCAATGTTCCGTCCAAATGTTGTTCTGGGACACAGACGAGATGGAGAACTCTTCCCATCCGGAGAACGATTTGTCTGGAACCGATTGAACAGAACGCAAATTGAGCTGAAGATCCACCTTTACAGGTGACTCGGGAATGGTGAGGGCTTTGGAAAATGAGATATCCCGAAGAACATATTCGGCCGGGGTCCTCGATACTTTACGGATGGCTAGAATCTGTCGCATTGCTTCAATGGCCATGCAGAGATATCCTGAGCCAGGGAAGACCGTGATGTTATCCACAATATGATCGCGAAGCCAAGGTAGGCGGTCATGGCTCAAGATGTTGCGCCAGGTCGGCTCGTTCGGCGAAGTTCCCGCTACTCTGACTCCCAATAAATCATGAGGCGGGAATTGCCGAAAACGGTGCTCCTTGCTGATTCGTGACTCGTGCCAATAGGGGTTGTTGTGTTCCCAGCTGTATGGGGGCAAATCCCGTAACACAGTAGGTCGCTCGTAGTGGTTTCTTGACGTGGGGAGCCCCTCAAAGTTGACCACCGATCCCAGTTCAAAGACTCTACCAACTGCTTCGACCATACATGTTATGGCATTCTTTTTCCGTAGCAAGGTTGAGATGTACACATTCTGTCCGTACGAATACGACAATGAGCTCAGAGTCTGGTGGAAAGGCCCTGAAAGCGCACTGTGTGGCCCAATTTCTATAAATATGCAGGTGGAATCCGGCACCACGAGCGTTTTCATAGCGTTGCACATGGCCACTAGGCCTTCCGAGAAACGGACCTTGGAGACCAAATTCTCAACCCAATAGTCCGACCCGAACCCTGTGGTCTTTTCGGTCCCTGTAACGGACGACAGGAATATAGTCCCAATAGGTTTAGTAGATTCTAATCCGGCGAGGCGTTCTCGATATTCTCCCGCAACCCTTTTCATGTGGAAAGAATGGTAGGCAGTATCTACCTTCAGGATCCTGTTGAATATGTTGCCCTGTGCAAGTATCGACTGGAAGGATAATATGGACGAGTAATCCCCGGAGACTGTCGTACTTTCTGGGCTATTCACACACGCAATTTCCAGGCTGCCTGGCGAAATCGACATCCGTGACATGAGCTCAAGAACTTCGGCCTCGCCGAGGCCAACTGCCATCATGCCGCCTGGCACGTTAGATTTACATCGTACCATGGCTGCGACAAATGCTCTATGATAGGACGCCGCTATAGCCCCGAAATGTGTGAGCGCACCCGCTGCATATGACGCCGCGATCTCTCCACTAGAGTGGCCTAGAACCGCCTTAGGTGTTATCCCACAAGCCTGCAGGAGATCCACAAGCGCAATCTGGATTGCCGTTACTGCGGGCTGAGCGATCTCACTCTGATTGATGCGTGAGGTGGCATCATCAAGGAGCAACTCTTCAATAACACTAACGGTGGAACCTAGGCTTTGCAAAATCTCGTCTGACTTGCGCAATGATTCCATATATTTCGAATTGACCATCATGAGCTCTTGGCCCATACCAATCCATTGAGCCCCTTGTCCGGAGAAAACAAAGGCCACTTGCACACTATGCGATGTTCTGGTCGTCCTAAGCGGTCGTTGATTCAGCATCGGTACGAGATGATTGGGAGAAGGGACCACGATACTGCATCTCCAGTTCATTAACGTGCGTCTCGAGCAAAGAGTATAGGAGAGGTTCCGCAAGTCATCCTCTTTGATCTCACGGGACTGTGCCCATTCTTTCATTCTATCAGCCTGCTGGAGTAACGATTTCTCTGATTTTGCAGTCAAAACCAGTAAAGTCGGACACCCCTTGAGCTGAGACATGCCCTTTCCATTCACGAAAAGGGTCCCATTTGTTAGCTGTTTTGAAGTGATACAACTCCGAGGAACTCCGTTCGACTCAGGGTTGTCGTGAGGTTGATATGAGGCCAAGATCGCATGCCCATTCGTACCCCCATAGCCGAAACTGTTCACAGAAGCAAGTCGCTGGCCCGTTACCGGCAGCGGCCAATCTTCAATTATCCTAGCAATCTTCAGATGTTATCAGCGAATGTCTCTAGGAGAGCTAACGGAAATCTTACCCTCAATTTACGGCCCTCAAAATCAAGATTCGGCTTCAGCTTCTCGAAATTCAAATTTGCGACAATCTTTCCTCGTTCGAGCATCAGCACCGTTTTGATGAGACCGGATATTCCGCTCGCGCTTTCGAGGTGGCCGATATTCGCCTTTATGGAGCCGATGACGAGCGGCTGGTCCGCGTTTCGCCCGCAACAGAAAACGTTCGAGATAGATCCAGTTTCGATTGCATCTCCTGCAACAGTACCAGTTCCATGCGCCTCCACATAACCCACTTTATTGGGATCTAAGCCGGCACGGTAGTAAACGGACTTAGCGAGGGTTTCTTGAGACTTTTGACTTGGGACAGCAATGCCGGACGACGTCTTGCCGTCCTGGTTCACACCTGTACCATGGATGACTGCCCGAATTGGATCACCGTCTTCCAACGCAGCGTCCAACCGCTTGAGAACGAGACAGGCAGCGCCCTCGCCTCGTCCATATCCGGAGCCTCTGGCGTCAAATGTAAAGCAACGACCTCTATTATTCAGAATACTAGAATCAGGGTCAGGTAATTGACCATATTCAATGATAGCCGGTCGAGTACTCACTGCAAGAGTGTCATTGGAATCATCTGGTCTGGAGACAAGATCAAGTTGCTCGCCCCAACGAGTGCAAGGGATGACTCCCCCGTCTGAATGCTGAGACATGCTTGGTGCAAGGCGACCATGCTCCCTGAACAGCCCGTGTCGATTGTCATAGAGGGGCCTTTCAGGTCGAAGACATACGAAACACGATTAGAGAGGATAGCATCCCCTGTACCTGTCATGTGATACTTTGCTATATCGTCGGTATCCTTATACATTATCCGATCGTAATCCCGAGCAAACGTGGCCATGTAAACAGCCGTATCTGAGCCTTGGATCTTGTCCAAAGGAACGCCCGCATTTTCGAGGGCTTCGTAAGCTGTCTCGAGCTGCAATCGCTGTTGAGGGTCCATGGCATGAGCCTCAGCCGAAGAGATGCCAAAAAATGAAGGATCAAACATCGAGAGATCCTGGTCTAGGAAATGCCCTCCCTGATGACTGATTGTTCCGTTCATATCTGGATTGGGGTGATAGAAAGATCCAGAATTGAAACGATCCGCGGGAACTTTGGACCAAGCATCGCGGCCCGCTGAAAGCATATCCCAGAGCTTTTCCGGGTCATTAGCTCCGCCAGGGAGGCGGCAGCCCATTCCAATGATAGCTATGGGGCATGTGGTGTTCTGCATCATCATGGAAAAGGCGACAAGCGAAGGGACTTGAAAGGAGACGTCTTGGCAAGTGCTGTCTTTCTTTGTTTTCGTCCTTGCAGAGATATGCTTCAGGCGTGATTGTTCTGTATGACTTTCCGTGATTTCGGCTGCTAAAGAATTGAGACGGTGATTTGGGATACTGCTTCATCATTCCGCTATTCTATAAACTGATTTATACCACTCCACTTAAGTATCACAACTGTCATCGACCCAGCTCCTTTACATTTCCTGCTGTAGTGTAACGGCTCATTTGCGAGCTACCCTTGACTAGGGGCCGTGATAGAAGGAGGGATATCTTTCTGCGGCGCCTCCGCGCGTGGATTAGCGATACTGTGTTTTGGGCAATGACACCGGACTCCGTCACAGGCAGAGGCAACCATTTCATTTGTTTGGGGTGAAGTCGGCGTACCTGGCTACTTTGAGGATGTCGACCCTTGGTTTTGGGGGCTTGATGCAAATGGATTAGCCTAATAATTCAGCATCAGACCGACGACAGAAGGGGCTTATTCCTACTTAGGTTGCTCGCTAAGTCATCTAACCTGGATTCGATTCTGGAGTGAATTGTAGGATCCGGCAGGTTGGGTTGGATTCGCCCCGAAATCCAACCATATCCAAACCAATAAGATCATTTCCCGAGAGGTAAGAGGTGCGAAGGCCTGCCACGGACTGGAGTGTAATTCATTTATGATGCCCGTTCATATATAATTCCCGTTGTTACATGATTCCCGTTGGTACATGATGTCAGTCGATAACCGGAGCACGAGGCCCTACCCTTGTGCATGTGCAAACGTGTTTCAAGGCTTTTGGATGGGGAGGTTCTCTACAGTGGCCTTCTGCAGTTTAAGGTTGATTTCTGAATAGTTCTGTGATCTGCGAATGAAACTGGCGGTGTGTTCACCCAGCATGGATTGTCTCATTCGAAAGATTGAAGGATTTAATGGTAAAATCTCAGCCAGCCACAGAAAGTTACAGTGCCGAAATTGTTTATTGAGATAGCGTGAGTCTCCAATCTATTCTTTCTTTGGTGTCATGGTCTAATTGAAACTTGTAGACGGTTACGGGTCTGGCTTAGTGCGCAAGTTGAGCTAATGAACACAGGAATGGGTTTGTTTCTAGAGGTGGGCTAGGCCCTAAGAAAGAATACTAGAAGCTTTATAGATAATAATTGGCTACTCCTTTCGTTTTTTGGGTCGTTGTTTACATTCGGGCTTATTCTCAGACCCATTCATGCCCTTCAGGTATATCATATGCTGCCACCAAACTGCTATCACTGGGATGGGGTTTATTTACGACCTCTCTAAGTTCAGCCGAACTCCCAGAGACCTTGTTCTGATTAGAAGTAGATGCGCCTTTTGTTGCTGATAAGTTACTAGTTTCTCCAGTTGCTCTCGATCGTGGGAGTCTCGTCCAAGTCAAACTCGCTAAAGAAACCCACCTCGGGCGTAGATTGGAAATCAACCAAGCCACAACTGGCCTAGAAGTGAGCAGGGCCGGACACATAATTGTGACATGTATCTCAATGAGATTCCAGTCAGCCGCAGGTATAATCCCCCCTGAGCGCGATGTCAGAGACGATGGCGGTCATGGATATGTTAGAGGACACTTACAAGAAAAGTCATCCAGGGGATAAAATAGAGTCCGGTAGCGAATCACCGAAACAATACAGGTTCTGTCTACCCATCAGCCGAAACACTGACCAATTTATCGTGTGGCTTACATTGCTCCAATCAAAAATGCAGCAAACACACGAATTCGCTGCTCTTTTGGCAATTGAAGCTTACGTATAACGGGGATAGGGGCGATGAGGATGATAAAATCTGTGAGTACCCAAGGGATTGGACTAATAAGATCCAATAGTACTTGGTTTCCGCAGGTACCAGACTCATTGGGCTGCCAAATGTGAGAGGCCGGATAGCAGATAAAGGCTCCCGCAAAGAATGTGGCAGTCCACCAAAAGGATACAATGACTCCCAGCACCCAGCAAGTAATTTGAAATCCCCGCATAATTTCAAATACCCGATGGAGCAAAACAAGAAGAGACAGCTTAGCGAGCGCAAGCGTACTCGTCTGGAGGAATGAGCTCGCATAAAAGACCTATACGCAGGAACCTTTCAGTAACGCCATCTTTGAGTAGAGATTGGACATATCTACCTTTTGGAGTGCAACTACGTCATTTTTTGTCAATGCACCTTGGTGGTACCCGCCCTTGGCAAATTTCGTTGCTGGGTCCCGCCGTCAGTATGTACTCATTTATGAGCAGCGTTAGTGAAGCACTGTTAACGAGGACAGCCTTACCTGCTCCAAACATGACGCTCTCGCTGAGCCCGATGATCTGCAAGAGTGTATCTTCAGCTCAGAAACACTTGTATGATCGGATAGCATAGAAGAACATAGAGAAAGAGCTGTGTTTACCCACGAACAAACTAACAGCATGTCATCCACCGAAAAGGCCTGACGCCGCAGCTTACGTGACACTAAGCGTGCTGATAGACACAGAAGGGAGAGAGACGAGAAGACTACGGCAATAGAAATGACCTCCACGTTGTGATTTTCTGATAGATCAATAGGATCGTTATTCGGGGCCATGGCATCGTCAGGAGCTCAACGACCACTGGCATGGATCATCTTCAGTAATTGAAAAGCTGCGGAACTTGATGGTATTTCGGGAGGAAGGGCGCGGCAGGTCATACCAGTGAGGTGAAATAGGCGACTCACTCTAGAGTTCCTTCGGACGCACGCAAATAGCAAAACATGCATTTAACGAGCAAAAGGTGACCATCCATCCGTTTCATATGTATACTCCGTGACACCTTCTGAAAAGGTGGACAGATTAGATTTGAGAACCATATTGTGCAGTGCTTCGTTGATATGATGCTTCGTCCTTCGGACTTTTCGTGCAGGGATCTCGGACCCTAATCGCCACTCTGCCCCAGTGTCAGTACATCCACGGTGGGTTCATCCTGACCCTAGGCAGGAGCTGGCCAGTGCATGAAAGACCCCAATTTCCGCAACCAGTCACGATTACTCAAAAGGAAAAATCGAGGGACCAACAATGAGAGCTGTTGGCAGGGCTCTTATCTGTGCCATATTAATTATTGCTGTGGCAGCTGTATCATAAAAGAGCGAAACCAGAGTGGCTTAATTAAATAAACAGTCCGTAGGATTTCCGTCTGCTTGCAGAGGGAAAGGATAGGCCTTCTGATGAGAAGAATATAGGTGAGCGATCGGCGATGGCTTGCGGAATAATCCTTGTTCCCATTGTCACTCCCCCGTTTTGAGCAAATTCCAAGGCTGCTGTCACCAATACGACTGCATGACGAAAGGTTCGTTACCAAACAGACGGATTTCAGAGTTCAAACCAACAAAACTTCATTTTGGGGGCTAGACCACCGCGACGGGACTGGATAAATAACGGACGGCCCGTGCGCACGAGCATGCACCGGACTTTACGGTGTCTGGTAAAATGCTGTTGCCAGAGATAGATACCAGTTCAGCTCAGGCTGATAAGCGTCCAGCGGCCTCGCTGCTTTGGTCTCCATTTCTCCGCCGGTGGAGCATGTAGCCTTGCCAGCAAATCTATCCGAAATCCAATCCATCCAGACTCGTTGAGAGCTGGTCAGCGCCGCATTATGCGTGACCCCTGGCACACGAATAAATTCGAGAGGCGCATCAGGGAATTTCTGCACAGTCTCCTCTACCGCAGCTGCGGTGACGGTGATATTGAGGTTCGGGTCAGCCTCGCCATGGATCACCAGGAGTGGCTTCGCGATCGCTTTACCGCCATTCAGAACAAGAGTTTGATATCTCTGAATGTAAGGATTTTGAGTCCAGTTGGACTGGAATAGTGCTACGTCGGAGATTACGGTCAGACTCGTCGTTGCGGTGGCATCGAGCTGCTTCACAAGCGTGTGTCTCTCGAGGCCTTCTGTCGTGAGAACGTCTGATAGATTAAACTCTGGAAAGTAGGCCGTAATCGCTGATAGCATTCCAAAACCAAGGAAGGAGCGGATCGGCTCCTCCTCTTTAAGAACACTCGTCACAGGCGAAACTGCGACGGCGCCGAGGTATCCATCGGCGGGCTTGATGGCCTGGCGTTGGGCGGCCGCCCAGGCAGACCCCCCGCCTTGCGAATGTCCTATTACCACAAATTGCTTTCCGAGCTCTGGAAAAGCTTCCCGTGCCGCCTGGACGGAGTAGAAGACGTCGTTTGCCTGCGACGGCGATGTGAGATATTCGTGGACAATTGGCTCCCCAGAATCAGTCTTGGACACTCCAAGACCCGCATAATCAGTTGCAACAACAACATATCCCTGAAGCGCAAGATTGAAGGGTCCCAAATAATGCTGCCACAGATTGATCTGGTGCGAAGGGGCCGTGTCGGGCCCGATGCCGCTGGTTCCATGGGACCACGCAACAACTTGGTATCCATCCGAAGAAGCCCTTGGCGAGAAGGGCCACAAAATATATGCCGAGACGGGGACCAAGGTGCCATTGAGCGTTTGCGATTGGTAAATGATGCGCGAGAGTGCAGTCGCTGGGGGAAGAGCATAACAGGATGTGTTTGTGGTTTGTTCAACCTTCAGAAGGGTCCCAGGAGCAGCATTTGAGGAATTGCTCGGGGCCGTGTAGAATGAATCTTCAAAGACGGAACCGCTAGTCCATTGGTCTTTCTCCCACTGCAGCGCCTGTTGGGTGATGGCGGGGACCGATGCCTCCATTTGAGACTGAGGAATAGTATTAGCAGGCATGGCAAAGCAAGACACAGTTGAGAACACGAGAATAAAAGGAATGAGTGGAAAACTAAACCTGTCCACGGGCTTCACAGCCATTTGGGTGTGTCAAGTGAGTCGAGCGGGGGGTGGTACAGGTGTGACGGCGTGGTGTGGCACGGCAGGGAGGCAGGGGCGACTTAATACCTCATCCCAGGCCACCTGCATTTCCGATCCTAGCCTCTTTTGCGCAAATCAAGGTGCGCCAGTTCAAATTTCGATCCGCCCGCTCTCATGAGCATCAAAGAACAACATGTCTCACCCGTTCAGCAACGAGGATCGGGAAAAGTCGATTCACATTGCTGCCTCCAAGGAAGCATTGCCCGAACACGACGTAGAGGATACATATCCTCATGGCTCCCGCTTAGCAGCCTTGACGGCAGCCTTGATGCTAGCGACTCTGATGGTAGCTCTTGACACCAATGTCATTGGTATGCGTTCGTAGCTCGGCGCTGGTAGCTGAGACTAGTCATCCAATCTTGGAACCTTGAAAGATTTCTAACAGGATAACATATAGGCACCGCCATCCCCACTATGACCACAGAATTCAATAGCCTCAATGTACTTAATTCGATCCCCTTCTCAACTATCGACCTTTGCATATGCTAACAATTCAGTTAGGATATCGGCTGGTACGGTTCGGCGTACCTGTTGACTCTCATGGCGTTACAGCCTTTGTACGGGCAGATTTACACATTTTTTGACACGAAAAACACCTTTTTAGCTTCTCTAATCTTCTTTGAGATTGGGTCTACCGTATGTGCAACAGCTCCAAGCTCAATCGTCTTCATTGTGGGGCGTGCTCTATCCGGGTCCGGGGCGGCCGGCATCTTGTCCGGAGCCTTGACACTGGGCGGGCGCCTGGTCCCGTTGGTCAAGCGACCATTGTACATGTCCGTCATCATGAGCATGTATGGAGTCGCCGCAGTCGCAGGTCCAACGCTTGGTGGCGTCTTCACTGACTCCCATGCACTGACCTGGAGATTCTGCTTTTACCTGAATCTGCGTGCGTTTGCAGAAACATCCTATCCTTACAGATTTATATTAGGCTAACGGTGAGTAGCTTGCGGCGGAGTAGCCTTCATCCTTTGTATTTTCCTCCTCAAGTCATATGCCGCACCTCATGGCGCAGGCATGTCCATCCTGGCCAAATTGGCGAACATAGATTTTGTTGGTGTCGTATTATCCATCATCGCCTCAGTGCTCTTGTTCCTGGCCTTGAAGTGGGGTGGGATCGACTATCCATGGAACTCATCTCTGGTCACCGGCTGCTTAGTTGGCTCCGTTGTGTGCTTTGCTATCTTCGTGACCACCCAAGTACAGCAGAAGAAACGGTAGGTCGCTTTAACCCCAAGTCAGCACATATGTCTCTATAATAACGTGTCCATATAGGGCGTTAATATCGCTAAACGTGTTAACTCAACGCACCGTTTTCTTCGGAAGCCTTTTTGTCTGTTTCATCAACATGGCTATCGACACGCACATCTATTATTTACCACTATATTTTCAATCAGTCGACGGTGCAACGGCCTCCATGTCGGGTGTGCGGATTTTACCTTACCTAGCCACCATGATCGTTACCGCCACAGTTAGCGGCTTCTGCATCTCTAAACTTGGACACTACGTGCCGTTTATGATGGCTGGATCTACTCTATTTACTATCGGAGCAGGCCTTATTCATACCCTCGCGGTCGGTAGCGGAGCGGCACAGTGGGTAGGCTATCAGCTCCTTGCAGGAATAGGATTTGGCATGGCCTTCCAGATCCCCTATTCAGCCTTGCATGTTGTTCTCGATGCGAAGGATCTGCCCACCGGCAATGCTTTAATCGTCTTTTTTCAGGCGCTTGGTGGAGCTTTAGCGGTAAGCATTGCGCAGAATGTCCTCAGTAATGAATTGCTGGTACGTTTGGAGACCACGATCCTGGCCCATGATGCATTGGCCATTATAGCCGCCGGACCGACACATATCGCCGAAGCAGTGCCTGGTCCTTTTGTGGACATTGTTGTCGAGGCTTACAGCTATGCGATATCAAAAACATTCATCCTACCTATTGCTGCAGCTGGCATGTCCTTCCTCTGCAGCTTGGGAATGGAATATAAAAAAATTAAGAAGCTTGAAAAATAAGAAAAGGATTAGATAGATAGCAGTTAGGCGCCATACAAAGATCCTGGAATAGATGGGTGTAGACAAGGTTAAGGGGTTTGGGTGAGAGCATAGTATCCGTGAGATAATCAGAACGAAGTTATCGCCCGGGGCTGGGGCTGAGACCTCGCGGGAGGAGAGACTTCGTGGAAGGACGGCGATAGCAGTCGAGAGAGATTCAGCAGCAGGCGAGGTTTCAGGAAGATCTGACCCTCTTAAAAGCTATTAAACCATCTGCAGTAAGCTGCATTTTTGTTCAGAGGATGTGCTGCCAGATCGTACTAATCAACTGGTATGGCACTGGGTGAATGTGGACGTATTCTCTGCGCTGAGGTTTACGTAAATATACTATTGATGTAACCCCTAGAGAAGTGGCGATTTGGGACAGAGCTGTCCTGTGGTAATTTATTGTAGGCGTGTTTTTTGCAGTAATGGAGCTCTCCGATCTCCACCAGCTGCTTGTATTCAGAATCTACTACTGCCTGCTACAGTGATATGCTGCCAACCCTTCTGCCTAACTCACTCCTTGCATATATAGAGCATTAGGTCCCTTCCTTTAGCAATTAATCTAGTTTCTTATTTCTATGCCTGCTAAAAGCTTCTCTAAAAGATTTTTAATTATAACTCTAGCAATTACGTACTAGTTAATTAGGCTGTTTTTAAACCTAAACTAAAAGAGCTTCTTAAACACTTAACTTCTTTTAACTTACTTTTAAAATTAATTAACATACTTTATATTACAATAGTCTAGTTAGGCTAATAACACTACTAAAGCTAACTGTATAGAAGAAGAATAGACTACTCTAGGTCACATAACACAGTTAGATTAGGTATTATAATTGCTAATATTAGAGAAACACGTGTTAATTTAGTATTTTACCTAACCTTAGAATTTCTTCTTTGCTAGTTGTAGTAACTATAGTTAAAGAGAAAGTTTAGAATATAGAGTAAAAGAAAGTAGAGAAGGGTGTAGTCTTATACTTATCTAAAATTAAAACTAATACTTGTAAGGCCGAGATGGTGCTTACGTGCGACAGGTATATATACTATTCTGCACCCGAAAATCAACTGTTGGTTGATTATTCGTACCTTTTGGTTGTATTGGCGGAGTGGTGCGGAGCCCCGTCCTTACAATACTGTTGATAAGGTAGTAGTAAAAGTTCTTTCTTAGAAACATGCTAACGTACTCTACAGGCAAGTTGCTTACACACCTAAGTTACTTACTTTTACTAAGACTCTACTAAACTACTTTTTTTACACTAATGTATTTCTAATAACGCTACTTAGACATGCTAAAAGAATATTAAATATAGCTTAAACTTTAGGCTTTTAAATAAAATATAACACTTTTAAAGTAATATACTATAGCTATGTATAAGGTTTTTTAAAAAATAATAAACAACTAACACACTAAATAACTTTTATAAGCTAATTTTATAGCTAACTTATAAAAGCTAAGTAAAAAGTAGGTAATTATTAAGTATATACTTAAGCTATATATGTAAGAATTTTTTTTAGCTAGTAGCTATAGCTAATATAGCTAATCCTTTACACACTAAGTATAATCTAAGCTATGTTAGCATAAACTAGCCTAGTATATTTATAAAGTGTTATTTAAAGCTTAAAGTAAAGTTTTAAGTATAAGTATAGTTAGTAAATATTTAGCTTATTATAAAGCCTATTTTATTAAAGTTATATGTGTTATTATTTTAGATACTATACTTAGCTTTAATATTTTTTATAAGGCTAAACTAGTTTTAAATTACTTTAAAATTTTTATAAAAAGCTTTTTTATAGTTATAGTTATACTTAAACTTTACTTTAAGCTTTAAATAACACTTTATAAATATACTAAGCTAGTTTATGCTAAAATAGCCTAAATTATACTTAGTGTATAAAGAATTAGCTATATTAGCTATAGCTACTAGCTAAAAAAAATTAATTTATATATATAGCTTAAGTATATACTTACTAATTACTTGCTTTTTATTTTTACTTATTTTTTATAAGTTAGCTATAAAATTAGCTTATAAAAGTTATTTTGTAAAGCTATGTAGAGCACCATAGACATGAGGAACTGCATTGTATGTCTTGCTAGAGGAGTCCTTTGCAGGAGTCTATATATATGCGAAATAAGTGGGTGAGTCGTGGCAACAGACTGTGCTGAGATGCATACAACTATGGTGCTAACGCATGATCATCGTGTGACGACACATCCGACTATCGTGCGACTATGGTGACGACGCATCCGAGTGTCACCACTGCAAACATATTTAGTATATTAGTTATTTATTATTCTTTAAAAGTGTTATATCTTATTTAGAAGCATGTCTAAGTAGTGTTATTAGAAATACATTAGTATAAAAAAAGTAGTTTAGTAAAGTCTTAGTAAAAGTAAGTAACTTAGGTGTGTAAGCAACTTGCTTATAAAGTATGTTAAGTGCCTTTTTAAAAAATTATATGTTAAAGAATATTTATTATATTTTTTTTATAAAAAGTGTTTTAAGTCCCGGTAGGCTCTTTAATTATCTAAGTGTAGTTAAAACTATATACTTAAATTACTATTTAATTATAATCTTATTTATTAAATTATTTTTTTAATCTAAAAAGTGTTCTTATTGTAATTAGCAAATAGCGTATATTAAGTAAAGAAAGGTTTAAGATCTATAAGATCTTCTATTGCATAGAGCTATCTGTCTATATATATATCCTTCTGCTATGCTAGCTAGGAGGTTAACCTTTTAGTAAACGCAACAGTTATAAGTGTTACAGTCTATAGTTGGACCGGCGTAACTCCACCCGAAGTGCTCTACAATCTAGCTAGGTTGGGGCAGAGCTTGTTTACAGACCAATTAAAAGACGTGGAGACAGCGCAGCTGCCTAAGATTGCAGAGGAATGCGTTATCTAATAAGTAGATAACACAGGACGCTAAGACAAGTCCTTACAAGTTTAAACAAGCTTACTAAAGGGACAGTAGTAGAAGCTTAAAGGAACTTATGGTAACTTGTCCTTAGCGCTACTAAACATGTATATAGTTTTAACCTTAAATACTCTTAAAAAGGTGTGTTTAACATTTAGTTTATTATTTACATAAACTAAGTAGATTTTAGCTTTCTAAAAAGCTGTAATACTATCTGTATATCTTACACTATATATACCTCTAATCCTGTCTAATAGGACTGTTTGACCTAGCCACTATACTGCTGCAACTAGGGACAAACCATAATCTAGCTACTCTACTACTCTCTATTAGCCTATTAGCCCTTAAGTAGGACTGTACGCCCTACTGTTAGCCTCTTACCTCTATCCTTCCCTAGGAACTACTTTAGCCTAAGTGCTTTACTAAGTAAGGATTGTAACATTAAACACTACACTTTTTAAAAAGTATAACCTTTTAACACAACTTTAATTCTAACATAGCTTATGTAGCCTTATTAGAATTAACAGAAGTTCTAATAGCTAACAAAGGAGTTCTAGTAGAATAAATTAACAGTATTTAGAATAATATTAAAAAACTTTAATAGCTTAGTAATAAAATTAGTAAGCTAGCTAGTCTCTGCAAAGAAGTAAAACATTTATGTTAAAAAGTAGTTTAATTTAATAATTAACCTACACTAATAAACCTCTAGATAGCTATAAACACTGTAAATTAAATACACGTACTATAAGTAGAACTAGCAAAACTCTAGAATATATTAACATAAAAGGTAAGCATTGCTGCTAAAAAGACTTTAAGATTAGCTTTTTTAAAGCTCTTTAAAGAATTACCTAAGAACCTTTAACCCTTTTTTACTTAATGCTACCTTTATATGTAATACAATTAAGGAGCATTCTAGACTAACACAGAAATAATATTATAAATAGAACTACATTTAAAAGAACCCCTAGTAATCTAGTTCTAACTATATGTAGACAACTAGATAGACTTTAGAGCTAACAGCACTACTTTTAACCTAGAAACTAAAGAAATATTTAGTAGTGTAGACACTTTTAAAAAAGCCTTAACAGCTATTTATAGCACTATAGATAAATAAAAAAATTACTGCTAATAAGCTTAATGCTTTAAAGAAGGGCAAAGGAACAGCATAGTACTACGCTGCTAGATTTAGAGAACAATTAGCAATCTGTAGATAGACTAACTAAAAAGCTTTTTATAGAATGTTTTATAATAGCCTAAAAAATAGAATAAAAAATAAATTTACTTATAATAAAAAACTAACTACTTTTAAAAACTTTATTACTAAAGTAATGCTTTATAATAATAGGCATAAAAAATGCAAAAAAGAAAAATAACATAGAGGAACTTTTTAGAAACCTAAGTTTGTTCCTAAAATAAAAAAACCTCTTAATATAATAAAAAACTAATAGACTTTAGTTATATAGAATATATATAAAGCCTCCTCTTAAAGAAAAGCTAAGCTTTTAGATGTAATAGGCTACTTTTAACTAAAGAGTAATAAAAATAGCTAGAGAATAAGGCCTGCCTAAACTATAAAAAAGTAGGACATTTCTGCTAAAATTACCTAGACTTCTATAAAGAGGAGAATAAAAATACTACTATAATAGTAAAAGCTATTACTGCTAAATACAGCCTTATAGATAAGAAAATATTAGAAAGACTAGATAATAAACTTTACTAGTAATGCAAAGAAAACTATTCTTTAAAGACCTACTCTAAACTATATTAAAATGTAGTTATTAAAGATTTTAGCAGCCTTAATTAAGTATTATAAAACATTGCAATTCTTAAAAAATATAAAGAAGAGACTTAAATCTAAGGATATATTAAAAATATTAAAAAAGAAGAGAAACAGTTCCCTTTTAATAACAAAACGCTAGGCACCTTAGTATAGAAACTCTCTAAACAATTCTAAAACTATTTATGTTAAAAGTGTAGGCAACAATATAACTACTTTAAAAAGTGTATAGTATTACTTTACTAAATAAACATTAGCAACAACTATGTAATGTTTAACATAGT